CCTTCCTGGGCTACCCTCCCAGCTCCTTCCGAGGCGGGGACGAGAAACCCCACATCTGGTCCCGGCCCCGGTCTCTCCCTGCCAGCGTGGCCGTGGGTGGAGCAGAGGACAGGCTCTGAGATTCCGAGCCCTGGACCGGTCTCGAGGGTTGGGGGCCTGCGCTGGGGGGGGAGTCCAGAGGCCTAGAGCCAAAGGACAAGGGCTGGAGGATTTACCCGGGACTGGAGGACGCACTGCGGGTGGAGCCTCCGGGCCGTGAGGAGGGGACTCTGAATAATGGACGTGCAGGGGACAGGACATCTAGTTGACTCTGTAGCAAGAGAGATGGAGGGTAGACGGTAGAAAGGACTTTTGGATGGGGCCTCGCGCAGCCGTCATGAATACACTTGTCAGATTTAAAGAAGGGAGCTGGAGGTTCAGGCTGGCTTAGGGGTCTCGGTTTTATGCGGAGGAGCTTATCTTGGGGTGGGGGGGCTGGGCTTCTGGAAGGCAGAGGGCAGCAAGTAGAGATCTCTGAGGAAGGACAGACAAAAGCAGAGGTGGTAGCAAGAAGGGGGTGTCCCTGGGGGATGTTCGGCCCCGGAGTTGCAGGCTCTGCCTGTGCTCCTCCCCCACCCGCGGCTCCAGCAGTGCTGTAGGTAAAGGGAGAGGGATTAGGTTCTGACAGTGAAATCGGGCTCCCAGCCAAAGGGAGGGAACATGGCTGAAACCAGACTCCCACCGCCCCCCTCCCCCTCACTGCCCCCTACCTCCTCCACCCAAATCACTATGTCCATCTCCACTCCTCTCCAGCCCTCCTGAGCCCCCAGCCAGAACAGTCCCGTCCCCTGCTCCATAGCCAGCCTACTGCAAAGAGAAGGGCCCCGGCAGGCCCACGCCCCCACCAGCCTGGTGACTGAGGATGTTAAAACCTCGACCAGATGATCCCCAGGACGAGGGCGCCTAGACCTACAATAGCATGAAGGGGGGACATGGTCTGGCCGGAGGCTGGACGGGAGCTCCCTGGGGTGGGGGCAGGGAGGCCTGGGCCCACTCCCCTCCCTTTACTTCCTCATTCCCCCCACTGACTAGCCGGCCAGAATTTCCAAAAAGACAGAAGACAAAGGGAAGTCAGGCTGGGAAGGGAATTTTTTCCAGATGTGTTTGTGGTTTGGCAGCTCTGGGCCTGAGCTCCAGCCCCTGCACCCCAACCTTGGCTGAGGGAGGTGGTCCGGGGGTCTGGAGGAGGGTGCTGAGCAAGCGAGGCTGGAGGTCTCAGCCTCCAGCAGCCCCGTTAACCTGTTGTAAAG